CCCCCCCCCCCCCCCCCCCCCCCCCCCCCCCCCCCCTGTATCCGCCACTGATCGAGACCGGCAGCGATGGAACGTTGGGGCTCGAGTTTCGTCCGGCACGATCGTTTCCGATCCGATCCGAGCCTGCGATGTTTTTATATCGTCTTTGCGTGACATTTAAAACGTTCTGTGCGACCATCGTAACGTCGAAGGTTTTAAAGCTTCGGCACTACTCCTACTTTTTCTTCCCCACACTGCGCATGCGTAGCAGTATACATTTCTCTTCGTCGTCGACCGAAATGCATCCGGAATCGGAGAAAACGTTCTCGATCGGAGCTTTACCCTGCTGCTATCGCTCTTGGACGCAAGTGCCCCGTACGTGGGATCTCTAACCGTTCCCGACTGCACGGCACGGACTCGACTGCGAGACGAAGCTTACGCAGCTTACGTACTAAAATAGACGAGCTCAGGNTTACTGGACGTGGATGATTTGAACCTAGATCGACAGGTTTGCGTGTTGGTACCTCCCGTTAGGCTAGCTATTCGGGATTCGGTTTGTCCAACTCGTGAAATCTCTTTCCCTCCTCGTCCCGTAGGTAGTACGGAAATGTGACGCTTGGACTTGGAGTGCATGCAATGCCATGCGATCCCCACGAAAGCGGTATTTGAAGTAGAACATCTTGCATTTGTAGTTAAGGGAATACCAGTTTTTTCATCGGTGTCTTTGACGAGGGCCTTTGAATCGTGCGACTCACCTGATGCGAGGGCCTCGATGCTCAGTTGGTTGCCAACTTCCTGCTCTATGGGGTCCTCGCAAGACTGTGAGACGATCGGATCGTGGGGCTGACAGGAGATTCAAAGATAGAAGGCTTCCCGCCGCCCTTGCCGCCAGCGAGAGCCCAAGAACTGTCTGGACACGACACGAAGCAGAGGAGACATCTATATTAGCGCTTAGTCATTAAAGCATCCACTGTGAACGTCCAGTTGTCGCAAGAATCTGACAAAAGTCGAAAGTCTCAAATCTGCCGTTTCGGACTGGGCTGTACGTGTGGGGTGATCAGAGCGGAAAGGGAATGTTAGTTTGAGGAATGTCGTTCCGAGACGGGCACGGGACGGGTTCGGGAACTGAAATACATCAACTACGTCACAAATAAGCCTCATCCATTCGTTCTCCCTGAGTCGTCGAGTACCTATGGCTCAGTCATTCGCGTCTGAGAGAGAGGATCGAATGTCTTCATGGATTTTGAGCCAAGACATTATGCGTCATCTGTGCGTCGCTTTTTATTGCATGTAGAGTTGTTGAATCGAAGAAGCAGAAATCTCGTTCGCAAAGAATTCCTTGCCTACAGTTCATCGATTCCGCATCGATCATTTTGATTGCTCCTGAAGAGGCGAATTCTATTCTTCTCTTCTTTTTTTTCCTGTGACGATGAGGCATTTCGCTGATAATTATTCAAGAGCCCTTTGATACTTTTAGTTCTAGCAGCCACTCCAGACGACCATACGTGACAACAATGCGGACCAAAGAGACACTAGTGGATTAGCAGCATATAGTGTTTATAGTTGTCTCTATTGTAGAGTCTATAGTAGAGTTATCTCCGTTCTCACCACCCGGGGGGTGGGGGCAGTGGCGGATCCAGGATTTCGCCAAGGGGGGCTAAAGGAAACTGAATTTCCCAAACTCCTCCAGGGGGAGAGGAGGTGTGGCGGATGCATTTCGACTAGAGTTGGAAGGGTCAGAACAAAACTTGGGCAACCCCCCTCCCTCCCCCTCTCGCTAAGCCACTGGAGGGAGGTATGAATTCAATTCGAAACAGTGTATGTTAGCAGACAATGTAGACAGGCAGGACCAAATCCAAGATGGCGCCGTCCACTGGGGCACATGTTGCCAAGCGAGCCAACGTTTTTCTTACTGCTTGTTCGACCTAGCCAATATAAAAACTCCAAAAATCTTAACTAGGCCTATATGTTTCTCAATTTTAACCACCATCGGGAAGGTTTCATTTCTTATTCTTCGGCTTTTCTTTTTTTCCACAAGAATACTCATGATAGTTCAGGGTTCAAGCAGAATTAATGTGGAGCTTCCACATGGTTAAGTAAACATTAGCCAGTGAGAGACAAGATTCGCCAATTAATATGGGTCTGACTACTGGCCAGCAGACCTTTTACGTCTAGGCATAGGGAGGTACACATGAGTTCTGAGATCGTTACATGGAAGGACTTGTATTTTAGAGTGATCAGACGTCCTGGTTTTACCAGCCCAGTTGAAAATTCCACCTGTAGATATCCAGCTGGACCGAAGCTGTACATATGGACCATTTCCGGTTGGCAAAGAGCTGGAAAATGGTAGACACAGGTTGTTCTACAGCTTGAATTTTCCAACTAGAATGCAGCTGGTTTTAACAGCTGTTTCTAGCTGGAAATTTATTGTTAGAATTTTATATAGAAAACCCTCCAGATGGAATGTAGCTGAATTACAGCTGAGATATAGCTGCTGTAATGAACCTCTTGCAAGAATAGCCAGCAAAAAACATTCTCAATCCAGCATTGATATTGCATCTAGGAGCCAATATGGATCTGATTACTTTCCAGCTGTTACCCAGTTGGAACAGGTCAGAATTTCCAGCAGGGGTCCAGCTGGAAATTATAGCTATTTCCAGCCAGGATTTTAAGCTAGGGGGACAGTCCTGGTTTTTCTGACTAGACCCTGGTTTTAATTTTCCTTTCCATCCTGGTGTGTGGTTTTTCCTGAAAAAAATTCTGGTCACCCTATCATATTTGTACATTCAAAGCTGTGTTCTCAGAATTCACATGATGAAAGGTGGTACACTTAGAGTTTGTGGGAGGTCTTTCAGCAGATTTAAATTATGATGGGTTCATGATAATGCTAAACGTGTAAAATGCAAACTGAACATGGCTTTAGCCAGTAATAATCTGGCTAGGCATGACTTGGCCTACTTCAGAGTTAAACCAAAGAAATTATTCCATGATGTACATTCATGTGATCTTAGGTGGGCCTAGCTAAAAGAGCTTCTGGATGGGTAAAAGATATCACTGTGATTACTGTGACAAGTCCTTCCCAGACAGCAAAGAGGGCAGAGACAAGCACATCAATGGGGTTGTGCACAAGCGAATGAAGAAAGAGCATTATGATCAGTTTAGAGGTGAGTGCTCTGTTCCTTCTAATGCATACATGGCGTTTGTATGCATTGTGACTTGATGATTATATACTTCACACAGATCCTGAAGAACGCTACAGAGAGGACAGCCAAGGCACAATTGAGGAGTTCTCTGGAAAAAGGGTGTATGTGCAAAAGATGCAGTTCGAGATAAACGGCAAAAACTTTCCATAGCTGCTGCTGGTCAAAACACAGTTTTCAGACAAATTGAATCTTGACCTTTTTCCAACTGAACTTGGGGTTTTAACGAATATCTTTGTCTCACATTTCTAGGTTGCAGGCAGAAAGTGTTAATGCGAATATGCCCTTTTTCCAGAGAACTCCTCATTTCAACCCAAAGGTGGAATTTAAAAAAATTTTTGATGACATGCCTAATGGAGCAAAAATTTATTGTCAAAATAATTGTCTACAACATCATGTGAAACAACAATAAACACTTTCCAAGGGTGTAATCTTAATTTTGTTTGTTTAATAAAAGATCAGATTAGATTGGAAGTTGCTGAGGAAAACACTATTCATGTTTGTGGGCCCAACAAGCTCCCCCTCCCCTCAGCCATGCACCACAGATCATGCCTTTGCCGTCCAAAGTTTAAAGAAGGTTAGATGACCTATAACATCTCCCCTGTAAGCAGCAGTGCCTCTGGCATCTTGACAAATACCTTCAACCTTGAACATATTTGAACATTAAGACACTAGAGGAGCTGGCTGAATATGAGCCTACTTTGGAGACAAAACGTCAAACCTGGGGCCAACTGAGTTAAGCAAGATCAAATCCCTCCAAAGTAAGATGGATAAGGGTTTTAGGAAGATTGGCTTCAGTGGTTGAGCAACTGGGGAGTGTTTTATACCCAATCTGGAAAACCTTTATATTACACATAATAAATGTCATGAGCTCTTACATGATTCTTTACAGAATAACTTTGGGTCACATGGCAACAAAGAAGGTGGAAGGGGCCCATAATTAATCAGATCATTTGGGAATGGTGCATCCCAGAGGGAGGGCATTCTCTTGCGTTCTTTTGTTCTTGTCTTGGCATCATCCTTCCTTTGAGAGATGATTTCTTCCACCAGAGCTTCTATGGTCTCGGTATCCAGGCGTTTGGGTTCTCTGGCTCTGCGAGACTGATCAACCGTCATGCGTAGTTCTTGAAGCTGCTCTGGAGTCAAATGAGTGTAGATGCAGTTACCACCAAACTGACACTGGCCTGTTGAATGAAATCGTGTGCATGGTTTCTTGGCTGATTCCTCTCTGTAGCGTTCTTCAGGATCTGTGTGAAGTATATAATCATCAAGTCACAATGCATACAAACGCCATGTATGCATTAGAAGGAACAGAGCACTCACCTCTAAACTGATCATAATGCTCTTTCTTCATTCGCTTGTGCACAACCCCATTGATGTGCTTGTCTCTGCCCTCTTTGCTGTCTGGGAAGGACTTGTCACAGTAATCACAGTGATATCTTTTACCCATCCAGAAGCTCTTTTAGCTAGGCCCACCTAAGATCACATGAATGTACATCATGGAATAATTTCTTTGGTTTAACTCTGAAGTAGGCCAAGTCATGCCTAGCCAGATTATTACTGGCTAAAGCCATGTTCAGTTTGCATTTTACACGTTTAGCATTATCATGAACCCATCATAATTTAAATCTGCTGAAAGACCTCCCACAAACTCTAAGTGTACCACCTTTCATCATGTGAATTCTGAGAACACAGCTTTGAATGTACAAATATGATAGGGTGACCAGAATTTTTTTCAGGAAAAACCACACACCAGGATGGAAAGGAAAATTAAAACCAGGGTCTAGTCAGAAAAACCAGGACTGTCCCCCTAGCTTAAAATCCTGGCTGGAAATAGCTATAATTTCCAGCTGGACCCCTGCTGGAAATTCTGACCTGTTCCAACTGGGTAACAGCTGGAAAGTAATCAGATCCATATTGGCTCCTAGATGCAATATCAATGCTGGATTGAGAATGTTTTTTGCTGGCTATTCTTGCAAGAGGTTCATTACAGCAGCTATATCTCAGCTGTAATTCAGCTACATTCCATCTGGAGGGTTTTCTATATAAAATTCTAACAATAAATTTCCAGCTAGAAACAGCTGTTAAAACCAGCTGCATTCTAGTTGGAAAATTCAAGCTGTAGAACAACCTGTGTCTACCATTTTCCAGCTCTTTGCCAACCGGAAATGGTCCATATGTACAGCTTCGGTCCAGCTGGATATCTACAGGTGGAATTTTCAACTGGGCTGGTAAAACCAGGACGTCTGATCACTCTAAAATACAAGTCCTTCCATGTAACGATCTCAGAACTCATGTGTACCTCCCTATGCCTAGACGTAAAAGGTCTGCTGGCCAGTAGTCAGACCCATATTAATTGGCGAATCTTGTCTCTCACTGGCTAATGTTTACTTAACCATGTGGAAGCTCCACATTAATTCTGCTTGAACCCTGAACTATCATGAGTATTCTTGTGGAAAAAAAGAAAAGCCGAAGAATAAGAAATGAAACCTTCCCGATGGTGGTTAAAATTGAGAAACATATAGGCCTAGTTAAGATTTTTGGAGTTTTTATATTGGCTAGGTCGAACAAGCAGTAAGAAAAACGTTGGCTCGCTTGGCAACATGTGCCCCAGTGGACGGCGCCATCTTGGATTTGGTCCTGCCTGTCTACATTGTCTGCTAACATACACTGTTTCGAATTGAATTCATACCTCCCTCCAGTGGCTTAGCGAGAGGGGGAGGGAGGGGGGTTGCCCAAGTTTTGTTCTGACCCTTCCAACTCTAGTCGAAATGCATCCGCCACACCTCCTCTCCCCCTGGAGGAGTTTGGGAAATTCAGTTTCCTTTAGCCCCCCTTGGCGAAATCCTGGATCCGCCACTGCCCCCACCCCCCGGGTGGTGAGAACGGAGATAACTCTACTATAGACTCTACAATAGAGACAACTATAAACACTATATGCTGCTAATCCACTAGTGTCTCTTTGGTCCGCATTGTTGTCACGTATGGTCGTCTGGAGTGGCTGCTAGAACTAAAAGTATCAAAGGGCTCTTGAATAATTATCAGCGAAATGCCTCATCGTCACAGGAAAAAAAAGAAGAGAAGAATAGAATTCGCCTCTTCAGGAGCAATCAAAATGATCGATGCGGAATCGATGAACTGTAGGCAAGGAATTCTTTGCGAACGAGATTTCTGCTTCTTCGATTCAACAACTCTACATGCAATAAAAAGCGACGCACAGATGACGCATAATGTCTTGGCTCAAAATCCATGAAGACATTCGATCCTCTCTCTCAGACGCGAATGACTGAGCCATAGGTACTCGACGACTCAGGGAGAACGAATGGATGAGGCTTATTTGTGACGTAGTTGATGTATTTCAGTTCCCGAACCCGTCCCGTGCCCGTCTCGGAACGACATTCCTCAAACTAACATTCCCTTTCCGCTCTGATCACCCCACACGTACAGCCCAGTCCGAAACGGCAGATTTGAGACTTTCGACTTTTGTCAGATTCTTGCGACAACTGGACGTTCACAGTGGATGCTTTAATGACTAAGCGCTAATATAGATGTCTCCTCTGCTTCGTGTCGTGTCCAGACAGTTCTTGGGCTCTCGCTGGCGGCAAGGGCGGCGGGAAGCCTTCTATCTTTGAATCTCCTGTCAGCCCCACGATCCGATCGTCTCACAGTCTTGCGAGGACCCCATAGAGCAGGAAGTTGGCAACCAACTGAGCATCGAGGCCCTCGCATCAGGTGAGTCGCACGATTCAAAGGCCCTCGTCAAAGACACCGATGAAAAAACTGGTATTCCCTTAACTACAAATGCAAGATGTTCTACTTCAAATACCGCTTTCGTGGGGATCGCATGGCATTGCATGCACTCCAAGTCCAAGCGTCACATTTCCGTACTACCTACGGGACGAGGAGGGAAAGAGATTTCACGAGTTGGACAAACCGAATCCCGAATAGCTAGCCTAACGGGAGGTACCAACACGCAAACCTGTCGATCTAGGTTCAAATCATCCACGTCCAGTAAGGTCACTGGGAGTGATCAATCGAGTGGAAGATAGCAGGGAGTAGAACTGAAAGGTTAGGTTAGGCAGGTAGGCCTGCCTTTCCGGCTGAGAATGACATTGCGATATGATTCTCTCCGATGCAACAACTCCTCCAGTCGGTTTACGTTCGCGTTTCATCCGCAGATGTTCGGCGCGTTTGGAAAGCCGATCAGTCTCGACTGGACGATCGATGAACGTGCATACATCTGCCATCTGACATCCGCGTTTCTCATGAAACCGATGCGCCGATGATGTAGCATCGAGAAAGTGAAATATGGCCCCCGTGCATCCCCCTCGAAATTCACCTCCGCCCTGCTCCTGCAAAAGAGCCAATGGACTCCCGTTTCCCCAAAACAAGTCAGGAAGTTCGCATTGCCGCTTTTGCCATCTTGACATATCTGAATTCCATGGCGTCGTGCCATCGAAGGAAACGTTGAGCAAATTAATTTTTTACATGCAGGGCGATAGACTACTTCGTTTTCCTTCGGATATGAGGACATTTTGTTGGAAGGACTCAGAAATGCAGAGACCGTAACGGTGGCGTTGTGAATATTGGAATGTTTCACAGGCCTGCAAGGTTGGTTTGAGGAAACATTAATGAATATCGACTTCATTTTTATTCATTACTAAATGGGAAAAGCAGAACTCAGAATATCACGACGTTTCCCTCTGTCGTAAATAAGATATTCGATTTTGAACGACGCAGTGACTTCTGAGACAGCCGGCACGTTTCGTAAAAAAAAAAACCAGACGTCTCTCGGACGGAGTCCGCCTGCGGAAACGATCTCTCGTTATCTCTCTTAACACTAAATATCAATTTAGTGTTAAGTTTGCGCAACAGAGTCGATTGCGACCCCTCGCACCGAAGGAAAAGCCTCCTTTCGGTCCGAGACGAGCGGAGGGTCTGCTTTCTCCCTTCAGACATCAGCGTTCAGACTGGGGGAAAGGAAGTAGCTAGTTCCATTAACTTTTTCTTTCTTCTCTGCCTCTTCCTTCTTTTCGGATTGTAAGTCTGCTAAGTTGCAAAAGCCCTCTGGATATACGAAAGCCTTGTCGCTATGCAATTCTTGTCCTCCTATTGCCACGTAAAAAATGAACGCCGGAACCACGGTCCATTAGCTGAGTTCATACAATTATTCCAGCAATAGAGCGGACGGTTTTTCCCTTTCTCTCTTCCCCCCCCCCCCTCCCCTCTCTCTCTCTCTCTCTTTCCCTCTTCCTCTCTTGGCGGAGGAAATTACAACGGAAAGTTTTCGATAGAATATGTGTTAAAGGACACAATCCAATAAACAGAGGAACCCTTCCTTCAAGATGATTCTTCGAATCGAGAAAGATCGTGCACAATTTGGACCGGGACAGTTCGCATCGATCATTTGGGGATGTAGTCCGTAGCGAGGAAGAGACAGAGAAGTAAGAAGAGTCATTTCCTCTTTCCCATCGAGTGTCACGAGCCAAATAGGTGAAACGGGAACTAATCTGATTTCGTAAATGGGCCCAAATGGAGTACGATTCGTCTGAGTTACTCACATTCCCTCGAACGAAATAGAATCCGATCGGTCACGCTGCGATGAAACTGGTGTCTGTCACCCCGTCTGCGGGGCTTCGATCTCTGGGGGAATCGCGAAGAGAGATCTGAAATTCGTTCCTCCATAGCCGAGGGCAGAAAGTGCTAGTTTCACTCCTCGCACTCACCCTATATCAAGGCCGTATTTAGGGGGGGTTTCATGGGGTTCAAACCCCCCCCCCCCCGAAATATCTTCCTTATATTTTTTTCCATACTGCTATTCGTCGGTGTAAACGGCGCAGTACTTGGTCTTTTTTTTAATCTTTAATAGATTATCACTTATTAAACACTGCAACTTACAGGAAAATCCAGACATGTCACAAAGACTTACAATAACAAGTATAAAAAAAAATAGCCACAGCGAATACGCCAAACCTCAAACCCCCCCCGAAATGAAATCCTAGATACGGCCCTGCAAGAAGTACAAATGAAGCACAGACCCGAGCCAAAATTAATTTCCGTGGGGGACAGGAATCGCATCGGCCAGGCGGCTGGATATTCTCATCTTGCGTATCTATATGAACACCCAGTATAGATTGTTCGAAGTCGAGATCGGTTCTTTTCAGGAGGAAAGCAACAGGTTTCCGATTCGGGTCTTCTCCCTCTTTTTTGTTGTTGTACGACAGCGGTAATAGGAGGAACATATATAGGTATAGGGTGTATCAGAGAAGAATTACACATTTGAAATTTGCAAGAAAAACTTGTTTGCTGATCGTTCTAAATTTTTTTGTTGTTATTCTGCGAAGTTTGGAGTTTTATCTGCATAGAAAAATGGGAAGTAGCTTATCGCACAAGGATTGTGGAACTTTTTCCGCAGCAGGCTCTTTTGTGCAAGCACAACGTGCGTTTCAACGTGAGTTAAGAGTCAGAGATGCGCCATCTCGCAACACAATATTACGGAACATCAAAAATTTCCCTGATTCAGGATGTGTGGGCGATACAAAAAGACCGAGTCGAATGCGAACAGTACGAACACCAAAAGCCATAGCAGCTGTAGCAATGG